TCGATTCTGATTCATAAGCGGTAAATGAGATTTTGAACGATTAGTTGAACATTGAAGACCTGGAATTTTTGTTTATTCAATTTTTATTCAAACACACTCGGTTCAAGCCAATGTATTAGGTTGGCTCGAAAGTTCTCAGACATTCTCAGATTAATTCCTGCTATTTCTGGAAGCCTAAAGCATACATATATCCTCGAAAATTTGCAACTGTGCCCTTTCCCTCCTGAAGCTGATATTAGAAGAGCCTAGGACCAAGGGGGGAGGGTGCTTGCGAGTTTTCGCTACCTCGTTTTCTTGTTGTTCAAGCTCAAGTTCCATACAAGCGTGCATGAAAGTATGTTGATAGGCTAAAATGAAGCATGTGGGGGTTACATAACGTTTTCATAGAAGTAGGAGATCATGTGAGGTAAAAATGCTGTGTTTTGAAATTTTTACTTGATTTTTCAGAGAATACATTGATAGTTCCTGTGCTTGTCAGTCATAATTTTGTAGGAATTGCTTTCCTCTAACCAAAGACGTGCAGCACGCCCAAATCAGCGCTTACATCGAAAACTTTTTAAATGCAAGTCCAAGAACATTCGAGCCGACTTGACAAGTTGAAACTCGCTCCTTGGCCTAGTCTTACATGATTAGCAATAAAAATAAGATGAATGCATAGAATTATAATATATCGAATCAAAGGCATAGAGTGCATTTATGGAGGCTTGAAAAGAACAAAAGGAAAATGGTTTAGCTTTAGTCTTCGCCGCAAAAACCACCGAAGTCGCCATCGCTACAATCTCCACCTCCGATGTCACCACTGCTGTAATCTCCGCCTCCGAATACGCCACTGCTTGAAACTCCACCTCCGAAAGCGTCATTGCTATGTACACCACCAGAGCCATCAGAGTCGGCTACGTGACAATCAAGCCCAGTGTCACCTAGATTATATATGAATTCGTCTGAAAATGATAGGAATAGTACGTACCAGCGTCTCCAGTGTAACTGTTGTCGTCGTCATTCTGTAAAACGCTTAAGTAACGGTGCCAAAAGAACCATGCGTAGATGGAAGCACTACATAGATGATCGGAGAATGTAGAGCATTACGCAAGCATTGCTAAGAACACTATAGAAATATGAAGACGTCTGATGGCAAGTCGAGTTTATTTTAACGCAACACAAGAAACCCTGCATATGGCTAAATCAACTCGACTGAGAAAAAGGGGGTTAAAAGCATTTTAGCTTCTAGTGCTCAAGCAGCAACCAGGAAGTTTGTCATTAACTCAATCTCATTGAAGAGTAATGCAGGACCTTGAAAAGATTGAAAAGATTTTTCTGTGGATTTTAGGCTGATTTAGTGGAAACAGCGTTAGAAATTCGCGTGCAACCTCAAAACCATTAGTTCAGAGATGCAATAAGCATGCTGGAATTTATCGTGTCTCAAAAAGCATAGACGAACACAACCGCTCATGAAAAATTTTATTTCTCATATGAATCTACCTATAAATCCTTCACATGCTCTAGAAACACATAGACATTTGAGAAATGCTTACCGTCTTCTGTTAGGACCTCTCAAACCACTTCACACTTCACTTTGACAGTATATATGAATATTTGAATTGTATCAGCATAAAAGACCCATCTTGACCAAAGCAGCCTTTTGAAAGTTTTATGAGCGTTTTCGCAGGAACTTCGGAAAATGTGGCCATATGATACCATAGAACTGCATAGATTGTCGTTATACTCAGCTATACATTGCTCAAACTCCCTTTTCTTTTGCTCATGTCTTATCACAGAATCTTATTTCTCCGAGTGACCCTCTCTTCTAAAGAAAAAGGATACTTAGCGTCTCAAAGGTTAGGTGAAGAACTGTATTACTTCGTGTGGTACACAGTATGTACTTACGTCGATAACCGATGTCACCTGTGGCTGTTGAGCTGGATCGCTGAGATCAAGATAATCGACATCACCATTAGTGTCATTTGTGTCGCTGTCCTTAGTTTCTGTTTGAGGCACAAATGACTAAACTTAACTTTAAAACCCACTGAATCGTAGCCACCACCTCCTTCTTCCTCATCAGTTTCGTCCTCTCCCCACATTGATCCAAATCCATAGCTAATCAGCGATCCTGCCAGCATTGCAGAGCCAAAACCAAGTAAACCTCCACCTAGGGCACTAACCGAGATCCTTCTACCTCCACCACCATATCCACCGCCACCTGCAGATGAGCTGTTTTTGAAAGTCGTTAACTTTGCAAATTAAGTAAACTGACCTTTATTGATGATCCCATCAGCACTTGGACGTGTTTGACGGCCTCTATCATACCCACATTGTCCCTGATTGTAGTATGGAGGAGGTGCATCAATTTCCACCTTTGGTGACCCATCGTCATTCATCGAAGTAGCTGGATAGAGATAAGCTGGCTGAACTTGCTGATGTGTGCTGAAATGATCTGCGGACAAAGGCCCGTAGTGAATCCCCATTCAGCTCAACTAAATTGAGCTGACTAGCTCAGAAAACTTCTTAAGTTGAATTTAGACTGCCCACCTAACATGCTCAAAAATGGTGAGTTAAACAGTCAGACGACCGTTCGGTCAAGCGCCCATGGTCATTCAACATACTGTCCGTAAGCTTAAGGTAGGCCGTGGTATGAACTGGCGGTGCTCGTGACACGGAACAATAAAGGTAACGGAATTCCACAGAATCCGAGTGCGCAAATATGCACACTTCGGTGGCAGATAAGAAGAATCGATGAGCAGGTTGATTTGACTCAAAAAAGCAATAAATAGATTCCTTTTTCGTAGTTTTTGCTCGAGATTTCTTGAGTGCCTGCGTGGGTAAGGATTCATTTAGTTGTTTCATTTTTTATTTTTCAACAACTTTTATGGAGTTTTCATCAAAACATTGCATTCTTGCTTTACCATTTGCTAGGCGAAATACTTGATAGTGGTGGCCTATTTTGCGATAGTAAGCGCAAAGATTTCCAGCGATGCAGCAATATTTTCACACTAGCCCGTTTTCCGAGCCATGGCCGCGCGGGTTGAATCGTAATCATCTACCTGTTTGAAACTGCTCAAGCGGACTAAATGTTTTTGAAGGACACGCACTATGTTAATCTAGAAGGCGATTCGCAGAAATCGTTGGCTCTGAATGCTGGAATAAGACGCCATAAGTTCAACGGAACTCACATGAGCCAAGTTGCAGTGACGAGAGCACCACAGTCAAAATATAAAAACTTTCCCGTAGTAGATTGACTGAGCGAACACTCAAGGTTGATAACATTTCTATTCACAACAGTACTCACCAAAGGTGAGTACTGTGCTTGTGAATATGGTTTCGCTTAGCA